TAAGAGATGTTTCTTAGTCATACAGTTCCTTGCCCCAGAATACAGAATCAGAGGTATAAATAATAAAGGAGGTATAAATAATAAGGATGTGTCCAGATACCAGCGTGAAGAAAATTATCAAGGAAGTAAAATAAGCTCACGTCTACAAGGACGACAACGTGAAGGTGAGCTGAGTTAACCGGTGGTAGAGACAATCACCAGCACCTAACAGGTGTCCTGGTCCATGGTGAGCCCCTCTGAAATATTTAAATAGAAGATGGAGGCCTGGTTGCACAGACTTGAAAGCGATTTTAAATAAAGAAAAAAATATCTATTTAATGATGCATAAAAGGCTGAAAACACAAGAGTATGGCTCCCAATTTAAAAATATATATACCTTGTTACTGGATATTTTTGAATTTTGATGCTAGGAAGAATAGAGAACCAACAGCAGAGCTCCAAGCCCTGTGGTGGGTTTGAGATGGAGGCAGTAGTAGGTGAAGGGTCAAGTGCAGTCCATCGTGTGGGGAGAGTGACACATTGATTATGAGCCACTCCAGTAGTCTTCGGAGCTTTGCCTGTGGGAGGGCCGCATAAATGGAAGCTTGCATCCAAATGCTTTTCTACAGCTGAAAATGCTGATGGCTTTGCTTCAAATTCTGGACAAAGTTAAAAGTGACCTTAATGTGTTCGAGTCCCACCCTCTCCTTACCAGGTGAGACTGAACAGCACAAAACATGAAGGGATTTGCTGAAAGGCCATGGGGCAATCAGTAGCAGAAATTGAGCTAGAAACCATTCATTTAACACATTTTTTCAACTAATGCTTTGTAGTTATATATGTATGGAGGTTTTTTGAGGGGGTTAGTGTTTTTTTTTAATGTAATTAACTTCATATTAATACTTTAGGGGATTCTGTTAATCAATTTTGCACAGTATAAAAATCTTGAAATGAATGAATGTATCCTTAGTATTTTTTTTCTTTTTTTAAAAATAATTTGAAAGAGAAAGGAAGGGAGAGAGAAAGAGAAACACCAATGTGAGAGAGAAATATTGATCATTTGCCTCCAACATGCGCTATAACCAGGGATCGAACTCTCAACCTAGGTACGTGCCCTGACTGGCCATTGAACCCACAAACTTTTGGGGTATGGGGTGATGCTCCAACCAATTAAGCCACCCACTAGGGAATGTCTTTAGCTTTTGGTGCACAGTTTAATCACTAAAAACTGTTTCATCTACCTAGTATGCTATACTTTATTACAATTCAGTATAGTGCTTTAATATTCCCCAATCAATGCTTCTGTACTGACGTGAGGGGTAGGAAATATTCTTTTCCATTCCAACACTGAAAATTTGACTTCAAGTATGTCTGTACTGTAAACATAACACACATAGTATCAAATCCACTGAAAAACCAAAACAAAAGCAGAAGCCAGGTTAGTGTCCTTTGCGCTACCCTACCAATTCTGTCTCCTCCTGAGCCACCTGAAGGCCTATTTGCTACAACCAGAGAGTAGGCTCATCTTGCTTTTCTACACGGATCAGGAAACTGAGTTTTACTCCTCTGGATTTTACTCTGTGGCTTCCGCTGATTCTTCTCCGGGCTAGGTGTAGAGACTGGCAGTAAGCCGCACAGTCCAGGGACTGAGATTTTATAGATTGTTTTTTCTCATTTCCATCGTGCACCTTTATCACAGCGTTTGAATGGACAACTGTTTTCCCAAAAAGGGAATTGCCAGCAGCAGGAGCTGTTCTGAAGCACTGCCAGCTGGCCAGGGCAGCGCAGGGTGATGCAGTGCAGTGCTGTCACCACAGCAGGCTCACCTCTCAGAGGCACCCAGGGAACCTGGTTATACGGCCTCCGCGAGAAGTTTCCGTGTGTGAGACTCCTTGCCAGTTAAACAGAACAACAACTGGCCCCATCCAGTCCTCTCTTCACTGAGTTTAACTCAATTTGAAAAATGTGATTTCAAAAACAAAGTGGAAACAACAACATGCTGTATCTGGTCATTTAAATAGGAAGAGAGATCCCAAACTACATTTGAAAATGCATTACATCTGTTTTTGTTTTGTTTTTTCTTCTGTTTTTTTGTTGTTGTTGTTGTTGTTGTTTTTTCAATATATATTTTTTTTACTGCAGAGAGGAAGAAGGAGAGTTAGAAACATCAATGAAAGAGAATCATTGATCGGCTGCCTCCTGCATGTCCCCTACTGGGGATCAAGCTGGCAACCCAGAAATGTGCCCTTGACCGGACGGAATCAAACCCAGGACCCTTCAGACCACAGGCGGACACTCCTCTACCCACTGAGACAAACCATCTAGGGCTGCTGCTGCTGCTGCTGATGCTGCTGCTGCTGCTTCTTCTTCTTCTTCTTCTTCTTCTTCTTCTTCTTCTTCTTCTTCTTCTCCCAGACTAAACATTAGTAATCATGGTATACAGAGTAAGTATAGCATTTAACTCAGTGACTTAGCTAGGAATTGCAAGGGAAGGCAGTTAGATGTAGTAGAACTAAATGTTAAGATGAAACTACTATTCGAGCATCAACTAAAATGTGGTCCTCCGGAGTTATTTTATTTATTATTGATTTCAGAGAGCAAAGGAGAGGGAGAGACAGAAACATCAATGATGAGAATCATTGATCTGCTGTCTCCTATAACTGCCCTACTGGGCATGGAGCCTACAACACAGGCATGTGCCCTTGACTGGAATCAAACCCAGGATCCTGCAGTCCACAGGCTGGCACTCTATCCACTGAGCCAAATGGGCTAGGATCCTCTGGAGGTTTTATTTTTTAGCAAGGAGAGACTTGATAAACATTTCTTCGGTACAAGAACTGTACTAGGAAGACATGGCAAGATCCCTGCTTCTAAAACTAGCCTTTCAGGAGAATCTCCTCGAGAGCTTTCGAAACATAAATAGTCAAATATTAGCACTGCGATCTTGGGCAAGACAATTGTGCCTGGAGAATCTTCTGGATCATTTCCTCATTTCAATTTACTTTCTCATCCTCCACACCCCCTACCTAAAACTCTTCCCTCCTTGAGGGAAGGGTTAGCCAGAAATAGTACAGAGATCTGAGCATTTTTCCCCAACTAGCAGCTGCCTGCGGGTGATGGAGCCGTCCCCTAAGGGAGGGAAGCCTGGCGACTAGTCTTTGCACCTCCAAGCCCACAAGAGAACCTCCACATTGTCAGAGCGCCAGTCACCTCGGTCACCTTCCCCAAAAAGGCCAGCCTCAAAATGAGGTGAACTTCACCGCTGGCCTCAACCCAGGATCACAAAACACGCTTTTATCAGCATTACAATTTCACAAAGAACACTTGACGTTTTCCTTCCTCTGGGGTTAGTCCCTGAAGAAGAATGAAGCTACCGATAGCAAACTGCTTTGCTTGAATGGAAACTAGATCAGCGCGGACTCAACGCTGAGATAACAAGAGTGTGTTTCCCTCTCACACTTTGTAGGTCACCGGGCAGCCAGTGTGAAACTCAAGCTAGTTTCTGTTTGGGAAGACTAGGACTTTATAAAACTTTATGGCAAAACAACGCTTGTAAAGTGTGCATTCAGTCATTTTGGGGTGGAGACCAATGGGCTCATGGCTCATGGCACTCCCATTGTGTGCATGGCCTGCTTTAAAAATGGGCAAACAGAAATGCCATGGCAGAAAGCCCTGGGTAACTGCCATCATAGAGAAAGGGAAGGTGGTAAATTAAAATAACAAACAAACAAACAAGCAAGCAAGCAAAAAGAAAGGAAAAATGAAAAGAAGAAAAGGAAAATACTACGTTGAAAGCGCTTTTTCCATAGGAAAAAAATATTTTATTTTTTTAAGAACAAATTCGGTTTGAAACAGACGTGGAACGTGACTCACGGATCTCATTGTCTGGGGGCTAACTGCGATGTGGAACTAAAGCGGACTGAAAACCTAGGACAGGCTATGAAAATAAAACAAAGGAAGAAAAAAATATTTATAACTCAAGCATAATACTGTGTTACTTACAAATTGGACAACGAAATTTTAAATAAATATTCATGGTACATAATTACGGCACAAATATGCAGCAATTTGGCAACCTTTTATACCATTTTTTTTCCTCATTACAGTGCAAAGGGGAATGACACTGCCGTTTAACAAGCTGTAGCTAAATACATTGCAAAATTCAGATTTTATACAAAACATCTTGCTTAGACTTTATAAAAAACCAACATTGCTCTATGTACACAATCTGGGTAAGAAAAGCCATTTCTGTCTTGTTTGCATGTGTATTTTTTTATTAAAAAGGTGAATAAGGCTACTGATACACCCCAAATCCATATACAGTAAAATCTGGACCTATATACAGCATCTTCACTTAAACATTATGGTGCAAATTCCAAAGTCGGGTGACTACGGATGATAATACAAGCAAGGCATTTACAGTAACTTTCCAAAGCTGAACCAACTTCAAACAAAGGGACAGTTGGTAGATTGTCATATTCTGCACCAGACACAAAACAGACGCACAGAACACTTTTCAATTGGTCGCAGTTAACTCTTCATCAATTCATCTGATTTTTCACAGTTTAGCATATAACCAAAATGTAGCCAACTGATGACACACACATTTGATTCCATTACAATCAGACTATTTCCCATGTTCCCCCTTCTTGCCCCTCTCCCCCATACTAAAGGTAATTTTTGATGGCTTACAAGAAAATCTTGTATGAATGCACATAAAGGAGAAGGTTGGGGTGATGGAAAGAATTACATATGTACTGTGGCTGGTCACCATGGCAACCTTCCACAGAAATATGATATAGATATATATAATATATATTGCAGATATATATTATACATATATGTACACATGTATACCACACACCCACTCATACATAACACACACGCACTTTGGACCAACATCATTTTCAGGTTCAGGAAATAAGAGAAGAATAATTTCTGTTGCAACTCATTTTTTTTTTGCAGGTAATTCACTGGAGGTTCGAGAACCTTAAAATGCTGTTGCTACTTTTCCCCCCCCTCCAATTCAGAAAGCAAAGTGTTACCATAGAAACAGGACTATGTTAAAGATGTCTATTTTGCATAGCACATAAAATAGTAGGTTTCCTGTTTACTCGTTTTGTTTCCCAAAAGGGAGGGGTGGGGGGGGGTAGAAGGAGGGAGGAGGGAGCTAAAGCCAAACTTTTCGGCTGAAACCTCCCCGCTGGATGTGACCTGGTGGATTCTAGTGAACACTTCAGCCATAAGGCAAGGGAAAACACAACACAGAAAATAAATGCCGGAACATCTTGTCATTGTTAAATATATGATGCAGTAACATCGATTTCCTGGTATTCGGGGCTTGCACTTCCTAGTCTACAGTTACGTGAGACGCCTTCAGAGGACTTGGTTATTTTTGTATTTGCTCCCATTATTGTTATTTTTGGAGTGATGTTGTTTTTCCCAGAAGTAGCTGTCCAATTTTTTTTTTCTTCTTTTTCTTTTGTAAAGCACTGAGCATCGGGACCACTTAATTGCCACAAGTGAATTTCACATCTTCTGGTGTACATGGTGTGCAATCTTAAAATATATATTAGTAAAAAATCTTTCACTTTATATCCCTTGTGTTCTATACACCTATTATAAATACATCCTATCCTCCTTCCCCCCCTCCTCGATATCATAATTTATTTCCGTCTTGAGGACTCTAAGAGGTTTGCCACATGTGCTTCACCTTGACCCAGAGCACCTGCACTCGGCCTTGCTCAGTACCTACGCCGCGGTCCCCGCAGCCCGGACAGCACCGCCATAAACCAAAGTGTTGTAAGGCTCGATCAGGGAGGAGGGGCAGGGAAAGGGGCATTGGGGGGACGGGGGATCTGACTACCTTTTACATGAGAATCCTTTAATAATGTTAATGATGATGGACTTACAGCCTGTTTGACCTTTGGCTTTTCCACGTCTAGGTCAGATTTGGCTCTCTGCTCTTCTCCTAAATGCTTTCCCTGTGTTTAATAAAAATGTGATAAGTATAGCAGCTGAATCTGCTTTAAGCATCATCCAAAGCAGACGGACTTTTCCTACAGCCTCGGAGCTGTACGTCTTATTGCCAGTACCACAACAGTCCTGAGGGATCTCTCCCCTCGCCTCGCCCCGCCTCCACCCTCCCTCTCCACGCCTGTTCCTCTCCCAACAATGACTCTTTGTTCCACCCAGAGGAGAGGGACTCTTCTTTTCCTGCAAGTTGCCATTTGATAAGAGTGAATGCCTTCCAATGCACCCCTCATCCACTGTGTGCGTGTGTTGTTGTGTCTCCTACTCGCCTCTTAAAATCTCAGTGAAACCAAAGTGCTGTGCTACCTAATGGGGTCGCCCCGCCCCACACCCTCTCCCAACTTTCCGTGTCAGAGGCAGTAGCATTGACCTGTGTTTGCAGGCAGCCCTTTTCCTCCTTCCACCCTCTTCCACCGACTCCTAGCCTTCCTGGCTGGCAGCCTGGCGTCTGGCTGGAAGGCTCCTCCTCCTCAGCAAACACAATTTCTAGAAATGTATCCTATTATGATCTACTCGACTGGAGCTGTTTGTTGCAAATGGATGGAGTAGGAGAGAACCCCGTTCATGTTCCATTCGTGATGCAGAACGCGGCGGGAGGGGACGGTCCCATGGGAAGTACGGCAGAGCCCTGGATAACGGGAATGTGCAACCGTGTGAGGCCTGCGAGCTAGCGCTCTGCTCTCTGCAAGCCCCACGGAGCCCGAGGTCTGTGCGGCAGGTCGGGGGGCACACCCCCGAGGCAGCAGATGGCGTTTCCAGGCGTGTGTGTGGCATCCCGGGGCATCCACGCCTTAGGATGCTCCAGGGCTCGCTCGCTCTCTCTCTCTCATGTCCACCCGCCACGGTCTTCCCTTGGCTGCGGTGCAGGCCTGCGTGACCGCGACACATGGCTTCAAGGAAGGACAAGGGGGCGAGGCGAGCGCCGGTCCCTTCTGCACAGTCTTCCAGCTGCTGCCGGGGAGTGAACATCTGGCCTCCCCGCGGCCCGAAACGCTACAGACTAGGTAAGCTTGTCCAACTCAACGGGGGGGCCCTTCGGAGAAGGAGGGTCCCCCTCCACCACCCCTCGCTGTGCTTCATTCAGTCCACTGGAGCGAGACACAAGGGGTCGGCCGCGCCCCCGCGGGCGGTCGGGCGGTCGGGCGGTCGGCAGCGGGACAGTCCGTTTCCTCCGGGGGGGAAAAAGCGAAGGCACCGCCGCGGCCGCGGCTCAGACCTTGTAGTAAATGTTCGCAGGGCTCTGGGGCGGCATCTCCTGGACGATGTACACGGGGTGCCCGTAGTCCCCGCTGACCTTCTCGTAGTGCGGGCAGAAGACGCTGTCCGCAGTCCGCAGCGGGATGATAATGTCACTGGGCTCCGAGCCGTTGTTGTTGCCGCCGCCGCCGCGCTTCGGGGTGGCCAGCGTGCTGAGCGACAGCGCGGCCGCGTGCTGCGGCGAGTGCTTGCGGTGCCGCCGCCGGTACTTGAGCAGCAGCACCACCAGCGTGATGATGATGACGATGAAGATGATGCATCCTGACGCGATCCCCGCGAATAAGGCCACTTCGGAACCGAGGAGGTTGTTCCCCGAATGCCCGGCGCTGTTGCCGTCGGTGCTGGAACCTGCAAGGGGTAGAGGCGAGTACAATGGTTAGCGCTGCCGCCCAGAAAGCCCACCGCGCTGCTGCTCCTAGGAAATGTGGAAATGAAGCAGCAGGGCCGAAGTTTTATTTTTATTTTTTTATTGTTTTTAAAAATATTTTATTGATTGTTTAAAAATATATTTTATTGATTTCTTTTACAGAGGAAGAGAGGGATAGAAAGCTAGAAACATCGAGGAGAGAGAAACATCGACCAGCTGCCTCCTGCACACCTTCTACCAGGGATATGCCCGTAACCAATGTACATGCACATGCCCATGACCAGAATTGAACCTGGGACCTTTCAGTCCACAGATCGATGCTCTATTCTCTGAGCCAAACCGGTTTTGGCCTTCATTGATTTTTTTACAGAGAGGAAGGGAGAGGCATAGAGAGTTAGAAACATCGATGAGAGAGAAACATTGATCAGTTGCCTCTTGCATACCCCCCCTACTAGGGATGTGCCTGCAACCAAGGTACATGCCCTTGACTGGAATCGAACCCGGGACCTTTCAGTCCCAAGGCCGACACTCTTTCCACTGAGCCAAACTGGCTTCGGCAGGGCAGAAGCTTGAAAGGGCAGCGAGACTTTGACAAACCAATTACCTCGGCTGATAGCTAAACGGAAAAGGCAGAAGTGAGCCATCGAGGTGAAAGGAGATGTGACTCGAGGTCGGATTTTCATGCTGCTCTCAAATTGCATCGTCTCCTTTTCATACATCATCATCCATCCGCCCGCCTGGATGGGCCCTGACAGCCAGCCCTTGATCTCGCTTCACGCCTGAACCCACATCAGCCAGCCTGCGGCCACAGCAGGGAAAGCAAAGGAAGTGGCCGAAGCACTAGCTTGTCCGTGTCTGCTGCCCACGCTGCACCGTCTGCTTTCCTCTAGGAAAGGTGCGTGGGTTCCTGGGAAGCCAGCAGCCTGCCTTCTCCAGACAAGCCCTGCCTGCTGGCAGAGCGTGCGCCGGCAGCCACGGCGGTGATGGGGCCTGGGAAAATGTTCAACTCTTAACTCGTTTGTATTATTTGATTTACACTTAAAATATATTTGGAAGGCAGCAGAAACGCTCATGCTGAAACAGACTGCCAACCCAAATGTTAAGCACTAAAAAACTGCCTGGCATCATTATATTACCCATTTATCAGTTTGTCACAAGAATTTGACACATCTTGTCACTGGAAGTTAGAAATAACAACTTCCCTCCTTGACGCTTGTAAAGAGAGGGAATATTGCTACAGATGCTAAATTCACACGACTACCAACAAGGCGTACGGATCCCTAATACAAAACTGCTGAGGTCTGCTCAACCACTTCCATATAAAAAAAAAAACAACTCTTTAGCATGGTAACAAATACATAGCTGTTTGTTCAGACTGTTAAGAAAATGAAGTTAAATGACAGCCAGTTTTATCTGGTATTATAAACTTTTGCCAGGGATCTGTTTAATATTTTATATTACACTGACTATGTAAAAAAAAAAAAAAAAAAAAAAAAAGAAAGTTTTTCTTTTTTCTTTTTTCTTTTATGATAACCACCTGAAAAACACAGCATTGTGTAATATTTTAAGATGTTACCATCTAAAATGTAGAAGAGGATCAGTCAGGCTCTTTGTGGATTAGATATAATTAGGTGAGGGATTAGAACATTAATTATATATACATTAACATCGGCTTTAAGCTGGTGTTGCAACCAGCACAACAAAGTGTCAGCCAATGAAAATGACTTCGTTCTGAGAAAATAGCGCTAATAATTGGCACTTACAGCTGATGAATTCCACTCTTCCGACTGGAGGACTTTTGCAGGAATGAATTATGTTGCTCTTACTGAGCAATTACCCACAGCTAACTGAGAGCAAAGATGACTGACTTCAGTAACTACGAGTTAGTCCTACTGGTGTAGAAGTACTTCGACTCCGTTCTAGCTCATGAGATACGAAGCGTGTGATGCACACAGACTACACGCACAGTCATGCTGCTTACCTGGATTTGGTTTGACAAAGGGACTTGTTGTTGAGCTTCTTCCATTTGTACCAGCTTCTAGGTCTGGGCGTCTCGTTGGATCATTATGCCTGGTTGACCCAGCAGAACTGGCATCTACATGAAAAACAAATGATTACTTACCGCACAGACATCTGATAAAGATCTAGCTTTAGGATCTGGATATATATCTCAAGAGGCATGAATAGCAAATGAACATAAGATTCTTTATGCAAAGGACTACGAGATACAAGAATATAATGTTCCTTTTAAAACACAAACGGTTATACTAGTTATTTCGGAGGTTTAGATTGTGAGGCCATCTGTGGAAACTATAGGGATTCTTGCATTTGGCAGGCAGAGCATTGCAGATGACATTTCAATTTAACTGAGCGAGTTGATTGACTACTATACCCATTTCTAATTAGAAGAGTAATTCTTTCTGCACAATAGGTTATCTATACGTGAAAAGGCTAAAACAAACCATCGTCTTCTGTAGTCAAGATGCAGAAATGGGCAAAACTGCAGAGACTTAGTTTTCTTTCTGGATATTTTAATTTCGAACCATAGAGGTGTTTTGCTTTTGAGAAGACAAATATCTATACACGTATATGGCAATAGAACATTCTACCTGGCTGTCCTTTGCTTTTATCTCCAATAATAAAGAAATCTGTGACAGTGACTTGAGGAAATCTCAGTGGCTCAAGTTACAGAGAAAAGTTTGCTTTCAAAACTAAATGGAAGAGTGACTGAAGGCGAGCATGAGCAATACTGGTGCCACACTAGCTGGGGGTGGGGGGGGCGCAACCAGATTACAGTGGCTTCATGAAGCAGCAGATGGTCTTTACCTTGTCCAACTTTCATGAGGATCTTCATGGCTCTTGTCTGGCACACCCCTCCCTCCTGGTTATCCAGGCCCTCCAAAGACCCATTTGATGTAGCTGATTGAAAATAAAATGGACAAAACAAAAAAATAAAGAAAAATCAGGAAATCAATAAGCCAACTTTACATGAACATGAAATGTCTGAAAACAATTTGAAAAATAAGAATTCACCCTTAGTCATAAAGTTTTCTGAAAGTATGGGATGCTGAAGGTTGAAAATAAAAATAAAAACCAAAGAAAGAAAAATGGATACTGTCAACACTGCTGCATGTAGGCTATCTGGTTTCAGATTTACTTAAAGCACTTTCTCCTTCCTCCATGATCGAGTGGTTTCGTTACGGGTACACACAGATAAAAGGCACAGCATCTTCCAAAAAGCTTACTGACTATTTCGGGGTCAGACTCAAAAGAGCAAAGTAGTCACTACGGTAATTTCAAAACGTGGTAATCATCGCACAACACCTGCTTCCTCTACTACAGATTTCCTGCTTCAAGAACAATTAGCTTGATGCGCCCTGTTTGTCAAGCATCCAAGTTCTGTAAACACGAAAAGATTCCCACACCCCCTTTTTCTTTCCACAGCCCTCCTCGAGCTTAAAAAAGTACTGTATATGTACTAGAAGTCAGCTTTTCTTATTCTGAGGCCTGTCCCTCCTCCTTTTGTAAGTCAACTACAAAGAACGAGTGTGTTGTTATTACGGATGTCAACCTTGGTCCAAGATTCAACCACGCTCCCAGTGTTGGGGCAACTGTGGATGGAGAGAGGGGGCCCCACACATCCCACTGCTCTGCTTGGTACTGTGGCAAAGCAGTACCAAGGGTTCTAGCAGCCACTCATCTCGTTCCCATTCTGTTTCAAGAGGAACAGGAGGAGGAGGGACAAGAACATCTGACCACTTTCAGAATTTCTTTTTCAACCATCCATGCTCTATCCCACTTGGACACATTCTTGTTCTGTCCTCTTAGGACGGTGAGTTCTCTGAATTGCTTTGAAACCGAAGCTGTCAAAGGATAGGCTGCCAGGTACTTTGCTGAGGAACAGGATTTAAATTACAGGTCAAGTTCCAGGAGAGAAAAGAAGCTAGACATTTTCATTCCTCCAAAGTTCAAGGGGCAAGGAACAGAAGTGTTTCATAACACACTTCTGCAATGTAAATCGTTCTCTACTTTGATTATCAAAGTGTTCTTTACCAACAGTATACATTTAAAGGCACAGAAAAAGGGACAGACTTCCTGGTAAAAAATAAGCCCAAAAGACTTTTTTTTTTTTTAAATAGGCTGCTTTTTTCCCAAACGGTGGGTGGGCCAGCAAACAAATTCTGGGTCCGTGTATAGTAATATGCATGTCGTGGATAATTACATGAACTGGAAAATAAGACACATAATTTACTTGCCTCTGTATTCTTGAGTGATTTTCCTTAAAAACAATGGCTACCTCTTGGTATGTATAAATATCTCTTTGCTTATCTGAGTGTTTCCTTAATGTTCTCAGTCTCACAATCATATCTCCCTCTTCTGCTATTGCTGATTCTGAGTTTCTCTTGGGAAACTGGGCAAAAGTTGCCATAATAATTTTAGGGGGTAGGAAGTAGACAGTGGCCTCTTTGCAGATTGTTAAGAAAAATGTGTGGCAACAAAACTAAAAAAAAAAAAATTAAAAATTATGAATCTAAAGAAACCAACTCTTCCCACCCCATTTCTTCATTTTTCTCTTTCCCCAATCCCTTCTCCAAATCTGTGCTTAAATTTCAACGTACCCTTTTCTCTTAAAGAACTAGAATAGTATAGGTATCTATGAGTAGGCACTATTTCTGAATAAATACAGAGCAGTGGTATAGATTTTTTCTTAATTATTTAGATCCTTCTCATAAATTAAAATATGTTTTCATACAGAAAGAAATTATAAAACTAATGTCTCTTTTCTGGCTGCTGGGTTTACTAAGTTCAAGTGAAATCTCTGTTTTCAAATTCATACACACAGAAATGCACCCATAGGCAAATGTACCCAACTCAAAGATAAATGACTTTTTCTTATTTAACACTAAGCTGGCAAGTGATAAAAATAGGAGTGGAAGGGTGCTCTACAGAAAGAAAGAAAAAAAAAAATATATATATATATATATATATATATATAGAGAGAGAGATATAGATTTATTTTATTTTTATTATATATATTTTATTTATTTATTTTTTTTTTTTTTACAGAGAGGAAGGGAGAGAGATAGAGAGTTAGAAGCATTGATGAGAGAGAGTCATCAACCAGCTGCCTCTTGCACACCCCCTACTGGGGATGTGCCCGCAACCAAGGTACATGCCCTTGACCAGAATCGAACCCAGGACCCTTCAGTCTGCAGGCTGACACTCTATCCACTGAGCCAAACCAGTTTCGGCAATATAGATTTATTTTAATCTTGAGAAGGATATGTCAAAGATTTAGGTCTCAAAGAAAAAAACAACAACAAATGAACAGCAGAAAGGGTAAGACACGGCAGGGCACAGAAAACTGGCAAATACAATTAAAACGACATCTGCAAAGGTAGCAATCACTGGAAGCACAAGAGATGCCCATTATTGGAGTGAGCTTTCCTTTAGATTTTATTTGTAGCTCAATGCCTTTCCTCAGAACCAAAGACTTTGTGCAGAGCTCCCTTGGGCCTACCCAAAATGATGTCCAGATAACCCCCAAACATAAAGAACACTAAAAGTATTCAAAATTCAATTGTGATCTAGAATTTAGCATCCACAGACTATGAGATGGTAGGAAGAACATTGTGAGAGTGAAACTGCATTGCACCCTGAACAACTGACATTTGGTGTATCCCTCGTTGAGAAAGAAGCCTCTAAGCCCTGGTATTGCAATGAGGGGGACCCATCCATGCTACCCTGGCAGACGTCTTACTCAACTGAAGCTCCTGCTGATAGAGGAGGATGGGGGTAAGATGGGAGGCTGGGGCCGAGGGGGAGAGCTGGCCAAGAGGCACAACGTGGTAAGTGAAGACAGTTTTTCTCCAACATTCTGTTTCATTCCCCCTTATGTCAACTTGGACATTGCAAAGGTAACTGGAAGACATTGAAAATTTCATTACTAATGTTAAAACAGCATGGGAACACTTGGCTATTTAAAAAAGAGCTAACTTTTAACATACAGTTAGATATTCCACCATGAAAATATTTTTGCCCTTGTGCTGACCGGTTTGGCTCAATGGATAGAGCGTCAGCCTGTGGACTGAAGGGTCCCAAGTACAAGGGTCCCAGTAGAGGGTGTGCAGGAGGCAGCTAATCAATGTTTCTCTCTCATCGAGATTTCTAACTCTCTATCCCTCTCCCTTCCTCTCTGTAAAAAATCAATAAAATATATATTTCTTTTTAAAAGAAAATATTTTTGTCCTAAATTAGGAATGACCTAAACTGTCACAGAAAACCCTGCTTTAAGATGTTACTACCAACTGAAATTTCAGTGGGTGAACTTTATAGCAAGCATAAAATAATTCAGAATAACCTCAACTTATTTTATGTTGGATCCCACAGTCAAAATTGACCTATCTCCTCTCTACTACTTCCTCATGGGGGAGGGCAAGAGGGCGTGGTTCTCATTCAAGGGGTTTCCCTGCCCCCACCTTGAGAAATTGCAGAGCCCAGTGGCCTGCCCTGATTGTGTCCCTTGGCTGGCAGAGAATGCTCAATAAAGCCACAAGCCTCATTGTCTGCTTCCTCCTGCAACAGGCAGTTACCAAGAAGCTTTAAAAGGTTGAGTGGCTGACTTTGAGAAACAACAAGAAATTGCTTATGCGTGGGAATAAAATCTATTTCCATTTCAGAGGAAATGGAATTATTTTTATTGCAATTATTTTTATTATTGATTGGAATGTATTGGGGGGGGGGGTTAACATAAAGAAAGTAAAAATAAACTGTTACCTCATTCTACATTGTTTTTCTCTGAATCTCTCTACAAGCATTATCTAATCCCACCGTAATCAGAAAGTACTAAATGGATAAAATTGCACTGAATCATTTGGAGACAGAAAAATAACATTGTTATACCTAAGCTTTTTAGGGCCCAGACATTTATTTTCCCCCTTGGCCCAAGGGGGGGGGGGGGAGGAGACTTTATAAAATTAAAAATTACTAGAAAAGTTTCTCCATGCAGTTAGCAAATCGGTTTAATAAAAATACATGGGCATTTTATAGCCTGCTTTTAAAAGCTTTTGCTTCGGGGATCTAATTGCATGGACTGAGTACACTGAAAGCCTTATATTGTTCCCCCAGGGCCTGGTTTTCAGTGGGTGGAGATCATTGCTCAGCAAAAAAAAAGTACCCAGAGCTCACACTGCCTAAAAGTCTTCTTCGTGTTTTAAAACTACACAGCCAATGTCTGTGGTTTCCCCTCAATTTGCACATGAACTTATCTGCCTTTCCTGCTCCCTGGGAATAGTATACTGGTTATCTGAGTAGAAAAACAGAGCACCAGCGAGCAAGGCAGACTAAAAGGGCAAGAATATTTCTGGCTGTGTTTTTTAGAGTGTGACCAGAGAGAGGAAGTAATATTGCACTTAAAACATGTCTTCATTAGGCTGTTATTGCTCTGCACCCAGGAGGCTGAGCTGCTGCACTGGGTTTTGGCTGTTTTTCAGTCCATCGTATCCGTAGCGCTGTGTTAATCAGATAGAGAATTCTACTGCTGGATTGGTGCTGATATATGGGTCGCATTCACAAAAAGGTTAGAAATGAGGGCAGCACACAAAAATCCTACAGAATCATAGCTTCACTATGAAGGAAAATTCCTAGGTTATAATGGAAAGCATGAATCATCAACATATGCTAATGCTTTGGAGAATATTCCTAACTACTCTAAAATGTAGCTTATTGCCATGGGGCTGGGTGGGGTGGGGAGATGGGTGGACACTCAAAAGCAAATATTTTTTATTAATTTCACCAAAGAAGTCCACCAAAGAGAGAGAGAGAGAGAGAGAGAGAGAGAGAGAGAGAGAGAGAGAGAGAGAGAGAGAGAATATGTATAACAGGGTCAGGAAAATCTGAGTTCAGTTTTCTAGCAAGAA